CATTTCTGCGCATATTTGTATCTTCATTATTTACCAAGTTATGATCATTTGAAATTTTGTAATTTTTTCCCAAATTTTTAGTGTACCAGGTTTTTTGCGTTTGAGTGTATATAAGATAGGTGAGTTTTAGCCAAATCCAAGGCGGTAATTGACTTTTAAATAATTTATTATTTAAACTGTATAACTTTGTATATTTATTAAAAGTTTAATTTAAGTTACAGAAGAGATTACCTTTGATAAATATTTAATTTGGTCGCACGTTTATCCTGAAGAAGTCACAGAGAGAGCAGCATTGCCAAATCGAAGAAAGCACAGTGCTGCATTCAGCGGGATAGAGTTGTTGCATTCAGCAGAGAAAGCTGCAGCTTTGTAATTGGCTGTGTTCCGATATTTAATATTGGAACGAAACGATGGTTGGAGAAATCTTAAAGATATCCTTCAAGACATCTTTTAGATGTCTGTAGATATCTTTTAAAAATTCTATGAAGATATCTTCAACCAAATCTATTTAGATATCTTTTAGACGACTTCTAGACATCTTTTAGAAATGTTTTGAAGATATCTTTCATAAGATATCTTTTACTACATGGGCTGAAAAGTCTTTGGCTTAACAATGAAAAAACGATTTTTTTAATGAAAAAAGTGTTTTATTCCTCGACATAATCTCCATTTAGAGTAATGCACTTAGTATAACGGTCCGCTAACATTTCGATGCCGGTCTTATAATGCTCGGTGTCAAGTCCCTCAATATAGTCATTTGTTTCCAACTTGACCTCCTCATTCGAGTAAAATCTTTTACCAGCGGGCCACTGCTTCAGTCCGGGAAAAAGGAAATAGTCGCTGGGGGCCAGGTCTGGAGAATACGGGGGATGCGGGACCAATTCATAACGCAATTTCTTTAATTTATCGGTCGTATCGCGAGCCGAGTGAGCTGGAGCATTGTCTTGGTGAAACAAAATTTTTTTCTTTGCCAAATGTGGCCGTTTGACCTTGACCTCGTCGTCCAATCGATCCAGTAATGTACAGTAATATTCTTTATTGATAGTTTTACCATGTTCAAGATAATCAATGAATATTATGTTATGCGCATCCCAAAAAATACTGGCCAAAACCTTGCCGGCTGATTGTTGTGTCTTCGGGCGCTTCGGACGGCTTTCACCAGGTAATAACCACTCCGCTGACTGCCGATTGGACTCCGGTGTGTAGTGATGGATCCATGTTTCATCCATTGTGACAAATCGACGCAAAAACTCCTTCTTATTGCGGTTAAACAGGGCCAGATTTTGCTTTGAAAGTCGAACACGTTCCGCTTTTTGCTCAATTGTCAAAAAACGCGGCACCCAACGCGCGCAAAGTTTTTTCATGTGTAAATATTCATGAATGATATGACCAACGCGTTCCTTTGAGATGCCTATGATGTTAGCTAGCTCACTCAATTTCATTTTGCAGTCATTCAACACGATTTCACTGATTTTCTGGATGTTTTCTGGAGTAACTGCCTCATTTGGCCTTCCTGAACGTGGTGCATCATTTGTGCTCGTACGGTTACGACGAAACTCAGCAAACCAATATTTGATGGTTGAATTCGGTGGGGCAGATGTGCCGTAACATTTATCAAGCCATGCCTTTGCTTCAACAGTGTTTTTTCCCATCAGGAAGCAATGTTTAATCAAAACACGAAATTCACTTTTTTCCATAGTAAAGATAAATTCAGAGGTAACGTCACTTCGAAAGCTATAACTTGTACACGAGTCAACGAAATATCATGAAATTTTTACAGCATCTAAGTTAAGGTTGGTACTCTATAGGAAATATAAGGATTTTTAGTTTGTGGCGCCATCTATATGTCAGGCCAAAGACTTTTCAGCCCATGTAGTAGATGTCTACAAGATATCGATGTTTACTGGGTAGCTACTTGTCACTAAATGGACAGAACTTTCCGATTTACCTAATATAAACGTAATATATTAGTAATATTTTTGTAATATTGTATTATAATATATAATATTAATGATATATTGCAATCTAACTATGATATTTCTGTAATATTACGTGCTATGTGGGTAGATATTGATTAATCGATTGTTAGTAAATGTTTAAAAGCAATGGGAATGATTCAAAAACTTGAAAATTGGTTACCACATGAATTGAAAGAAAGAAACCTTAAAAGGCGTTTAACCATTTGCGTAAATTGTTGCTTCAAAGACAGAACAGGAAATCATTTTTGCAATGAATTGTTATTGGAGATGAAAAATGGATCCACTATGACAATCTGAAACAATTAAAAGCATGGAGCGAGCCCAGCCATCATCATGAACGCCAAAACAGAATATTCATGGACGGAAGGTTATGTTGTGTATTTGGTGGGATCAATAAGGCGTAGTATATTATGAACTGTTGCACCTGACAAAAATAAGTATCCATATTATTATTTATACATCGAATCCATATTATTTACGTGAACTTCGTGGATGGACACATATCTATCCACATATTGTGGACAAAGTATCGACATGGATTTAACGTTCTATGTTCCTCGATATATCGAAGTTTTGTATCCTCGAAATGCCACTATCGATTCCACGTGAATATTTCTCCCACTTACGTTCTTTTACTTTTCCCTTATTGCACCTATATTTCCTGCTTCAGGACCGTTAACATCATCAGACGCTTACTAATAACTGTAATTACAGATAATTTTACAGCTATTGGTAAGTACTTTTTAGATGTTATAATATCAACGATCCTGAAGCAGAGAGCGCGACTGTTAGATCTATGTCCGCCACGCATGCGGATACAGTCAGGGAAAGGTAAAATAAAATAAGTGAAGAAAAACTCTTGAAAATCGTCTAAAAAGTAATTCCGAACACTGTGCTATATCATGACAAAATTTTTTCTTTTTCTTTAGTGTTATTTATTTGTTAACTTCCATATATTTTAGTGCAATAATTCTGTTCTACTTATTTCAATGGTAAAGTATTTATTACTTTTACGTTTAATTGTAATTACCACAAATATTTATTATATTTACCTCTTAGTGACAGGTACTAAATATATTTATTACTGTATTTACTATCGTCTTTAATATTTATATTATGTTGTAACAATATAAAATAAAGATAAATACTATGCACTTTCATTTATGTTATTTTCTTTCAATTTTAATCTAAAACCTTGCATGTAGTGAAGCAAATAAACTCGATTATAAAACTAGAAACCACGCAGATCCTATATGGATATATTCCCAAAATTCGTGGAATTATCACGTATTTTTCCACGTCGATTCAATAATCTAATCTATATTCTAGTACCGTTTTTGAGCGGATCATCCACTCGATCCACGTAATAAGAATGTGAATTTCACGTACTTGTTTTTGTCGGATACTAGTCTCTAGAAAATATATACTTTAAGTTGCAACTGTATAATGATTAAAAGTTAATAAAAGTATTAGGTGTACAAATGAATAATCCAAATTATTTTAAGCAGTTATGAAATCAATTTTAAATTGAATAGATTTTCCCGTTCTTTTGTGATTATGCAATGTTGACATATAGCTATTAAAAAGAACATATAGTTTGGCAAAAGACCCAACATAACCTTCAAAAGTATTCAGTTCAGTACAGTCGAAAATGGCAACAGATAAGGTACATATCCGACACTGTACTCTTTACGAATTCCAGCAAGGAAAAAATGCTGCAAGAGCGTGCGAATCGATTTATTCCTTTCTCGGCGAAGGTGTTGTATCGTACGATGTGTGCGCATTTTGGTTTAAGCAGTTTAAAAGCGGCAATTTCAGTCTAAACGACAAACAACGCCCTGGAGGCCCTCCGAAGTGCAATAATGATGATTTGGAACAACTACTCGCTGAGAATTCAGCACAAACACAAAAAGAGCTTGCAGAACAGTTGGGAGTAACGCAGCAAACGATTTCCAAACGCCTACATGAGATGGGAAAGACCCAGAAAGAAGGAAAATGGGTTCCGCATGAACTCACTGAAACCAACAAAAATCAACGAGTGGCAGCGTGTCTTTCTCTTCTCAATAAGCAGCGTCGAAAGTCTTTCTTGTGAAAAATCGTTACGGGCGATGAGAAATGGATACTCTATGACAATCCGAAACGCAGAAAGTCATGGGTAAATCCCGGCGAATCATCAAAATCAGTCGCAAAACCCAATCGCTTCGGAAAGAAGGTTCTTTTCTGCATTTGGTGGGATATCAAGGGCATGCTTTATTATGAGTTGTTGGAACCGGGTGAAACAGTTACTGCGGACTGCTACCAACGTCAATTAATCTGCTTGAGTCAAGAATTGGAACGAAAACACCCGTATACTGGCAAAGGAAAACGTCCAGTGAAATTGTTGCATGACAACGTCAGGCCACACATTGCTTCCAATACAAAAGACACCATAATGAGTCTGGGCTGGGACGTCTTGCAACACCCGGCGTATTCACCAGACATTGCTCCATCCGATTATCACTTTTTCCGATCGATGCAACACGCCTTGTCCGATATGCACTTCCAATCAGTGGATGAGATCCGAAAATGGCTTGACGACTTTATCGTGTCCAAAGACGTAACATTTTTCCGAGATGGAATTCATCAGCTGTCTGAAAGATGGCTTAAAGTTATAGAAAGCAACGGCGAATACTTTGATTGAACAATTTAATTTATTTTCTTTTAAAATAAACCTTGAATGTAGCTGAAAAAATTGGATTATTCATTTGTACACCTAATAATAAATACAAGTGTAAGAAAGTGAAGAAGATATCCTATTGCTTATTTACTTTCATAAAGGCAATTACTTATTTATTTAAAGAAATGAAGCTTCGCTATATTGATTAATTTCAGCATTGGATTTATTGGAGAAATAAATGAAAGAAATAAATGAATAGATGAAAAGTGATTATGTATTCCTATATCATTTATTTACAAATAAACATAATAATATCATATATAATATTACGTAACATGAGACAAAAAATAATCAAGTGCTGGAAAAGATGTTCAGTACAACCTAATGACTGTTCTTTGAATTTGTTGCTCGTGAATTACTATATCGCAATAATCTAAGAATATATATATTATCGTTTTCGATAGACGTCATCTTCATCGTCGTGTTTTCTTTTATGGTAATGTGGAATCAATTTGTAGATTGTATGTGTATGCTTCACGTTTTTCACCCGATAAGGTACATGTATCACTACCTTTTTTCTAAAAAGAGTTTACAATATGGATTATTAGGAAAGTCTTAAACATATATTTATCGTATTTAATTGATAACGCCAATTTTAGCTACAAATACATACGATTCAACAGATTGATGCATTAATGCAAGAATTATTATGAAGAAGATGCTATACTGCAAGAAAAAACCATACTTTATTATTATTATTATTGTCATATTATTAAAATGTGTTTACAAGTTTTCTAAAATACAAAAATTTTGTTCAAATGAAAATAATTACATCGTACAAAAGATCAAACTTCAAGATCAAATTTAATATAATTCTAAATAAAATTTAATTTACTTGCGTTTCTTAAAAATTAAATTTAATAAAAAATTGAATGTGGTGTTTTTATGAAAATTTCTTACCAAGAGTTTGCAGTACATTATAGAAAATTGAGTTCGCCTATCCTCAAAGTTATCCTCGAAGCACTTCGGTCGGATGAAAGATACTTTCTATACATCATGCAGCTATAAGGCAAACGTTTATATACTGCAAGCCACAGCTAGCGAAGTGCATCGTTGGACTAAGTGTTCCACGAAACTCCGCCCCAGCATGCATTCAATGCTATTATTCGTGATTACTGTTCTAAAATATCGTAAGACCTCTTTTCTGGATTTTTATTCCAAAGTCCATACGTTTTTCATGCCAATCTGGTAAAAATCTACGGATTTAAATTTATCATCATTATCATCATCATCATTGTTTTTGTCTTTGTCGTCGTTGTCATTATTGTTATCATATGCTACGATATCATTCCTTACAAATATGTACATGTACAATTTACCAATAAAACAAAAATGTACTATATTAAATAAACAACAACATTCTACAACATTAGTTTATAAATATGGAGTTTATTCAAATCGTAATCTATATTATTGCCCGTATATTTTACATGTAGAGATCCTGAGTTTTTTATTAAACGCTTTGCTGATTTATCCAGGTAGCGAGAAAGCGTTTCTGTCCTTCCTTCGATTCTCAAGAAAATTATCTCCTTCTTATAAGGTATACTATACGTGCAGCTCTGGCCAGTTAATCATCAAGTACGAGATCATACATACGAGAATCAATTAAAAATGAAATCGTTATAGCGTTGGAAAAAGTGTTCGGCAAGACATGTCTACATGCACATGCGTACGTATGCATTTCTGTCATTAGTAATATAAAACACGTTTTCCAACAATTCTTTCGTTCCCAGTCGATTCCGCTTCTAACGAAATGAAAGAGATCACCGCGGCGTGACCATTTCGCGATCACGCTCGTCAGCAAAGTTGATTTCACTGCCGCGTTAATCTCTAGCAGGTGGAAAACTAATCGCAACGATCGATGCAGAAGCCGTGACCGCGTTGGTTGTTGAGAAAGTGCATCATGTTTATCCGTTGCGTTTTTTTCACTCGTTTCAGTCTTGTCGACACGCTCGATATGTCTCGATAAACAGATAGAGACCACTGGATAATGTAACTACTTAAAATACGTAGCGTTTCGCTCTTTATCATTTTCTTTTTTTTATTTTTCCATTTATAGTAAATCTCCTGTTTACACAATCAGGTTTTGTTTATATAAATTTAATCATATCACTAATATTGCAAATGTTAATGCTAGTACAATAGGTCTGTAAATATAGAATTCATGCAAGGATTAGATCTTAACGTTATATATAATTATTATATTCAATTATTTCTTCGCGAGACATATGTCGTGGCATTTATTATCTTGAATTTATTATTTTAAATTTTTTATCAATCTTTTATATATGATAACATGTTTGCTACATTACTCCCTTCTCTCCCATGAAATCTAACAGAATCTATGCCACTGCTATGCTATGCAATTATACGATTTTCCAATTCGTTAATTCTTTCTTGTTTACTTTCATTGCGCTGGTGTTAATGTAAACGCTTGCGTTTAACGTTAAAAACTGTATTGTAAATGTATCTAAAACGTGTATCAAGACTTTCTAATATCACGCATTATATCTTAAGAGATTCCCTAATTGCGTTTAATAATAATTAGCATATATAAACATTCTGCACTGCAATATATTTTTGAATATTAGTAATGAAAAAATATACTTGTAATATCACAAAATCATACATAAGTATACATACATATAATTAACTTTCACGGAATAAAATGTGATCAAAGTAAATTTATTACGCATACAATTTTTGAGTAAGTATAATAAAATTTACCTTTTTAAACAAAAAAAATAATAAAAAATACAAGCGCAACGTATTGTGTTATTTTTAGAAATTTCAAATTCAAATTATTTTTTTTAAGATATATATGTGTCCATAACATAAGTTTTTACAAGTAAAACTTATAACTATAATAAAACTCTATAACATTATTCTACTGTACAAAAGAAATGATATATTAAAATAATAGCGCCAACTGCGAAACCGAACATATGATTATTGTATATTTAATATTTTTAGAAATCTCAAATTCAAATTATTTTATTTTTTTAAGATATAGATTATGTACATAATATAAGTTTTTACAAATAAAACTTATCAAATTGTTTTTCTTTTAAGATATATATTTATGTATACATGTATATATGTAGAGACATATATGCATACATGTATAACATAACACATCGATTAATAAGTCCCGGGATTAACCAACAAATGGCGTCTCTAATAACAAATCCATACCTTTCTCAGTTAGTACCACCTTTAGAAGTTACGTGTCAAATTTTCATGACATTCCGACATTATGTCATTGAGTTACAGTGGTTTTAGTGACGCTACACCGTGTCACAAGTCGATGGTAACAATAGCCAAATTGCATGAGTTGAACTTCGAATTGCTTCCGCACCCACCATATTCTCCAGATTTGGCCCCCAGCGATTATTGGCTGTTCGCAGACCTCAAAAAGAATATGCTCCAGGGAAAGAGATTTGGCTCCAATGAAGAAGTGATTGCCGAAACTAACGCCTATTTTGAAACCAAAGATCGTTCTACACGGCTGACATAGAAAAGTTAGGAAAGCGTTGGAATGAATATATCGCTCTTGAAGGAGACTATGTTGATGAATAAAGAAGAATTTTGGCAAACAAATGTTGTTTTAGTAGTTAGTCCCGGGACTTATTGATCTTATTGATCGATGTGTTAAGTTTTTGCAAGTAAAAATTATATCGTGTTATAAAAATTTAACATATTTATTAATAGTGTCCAATATTTAAAAAATATATCTGTTTAAAGGTTATTATTATTCAAGAAAAACCTAATAACAAGAAATGTTCATAACATAAATTTTTACAAGTAAAATTTATCATTATTTATTAGAACACTGAGTTATATGGTTATTTTACTTGTTATTATTATAACAAATTAGTTATTATAACAATGCAATATAAAATATTTAATACAAAATATCTTGGCGCGGCTGCACTAAAAACTATATTGAAGATGTATGTACATAAAAGTCAAATTACATATCATTGACACTTCGTTAATTACAATAAGAATAACATCTTTGAATAAAAAAATATCAAAATATGTAGAATATATACACATTCGATTGAAACTGTATTATGTGATAATACTGTGATGCACTGTCCTTCAACTTCCATATCAAATTGCTCTTTATCTGCGCCGAGTATGTCTAACGAAAATCTGGCAGTTTCTACTGAAGGTTTGTTTTTGAAAATTGATTTGTTATTTTTAACTATTGTTTTTATTATAATACAAAATGTATTAATATAAAAGACAGGTTTGATGTTCTAATGTCGTATTATTGGTATTTTAGATTATATTAATAAACATTCAGATGTCATTGAGACATGTATGTATGCTGAAGATCCATTGTCTTTATTTGCAAATATTGTATTGGGTGTACAAACTAGTTCGGTCCATTTTCAAAAGATGGCTCCGGCTGTTATGAATGATTCATAGTGACTACCGATTTTTGCAGTTTCAGAGAGGTTAGACATCTGCCAATAATATTCAGTTTATATCGCTTTGAGTTTCATACAAAAACCTTGCTTTTTACAGTGTTGATAATGTCGAATTTTGTGTTAACCAAGCAGTATTTGCGGGAGGTTTTAATTTTCTGCTTTAATTGGAAGAAAAGTGCAGCTGAAGCCCATCGAATGCTTGTTGAAGTTTATGGTGACGCTGCTCCAACTGATAAATCATGTAGGGAATGGTTTCGACGTTTCAAGGATGGAGATTTCAGCGCCGAAGACAAGCCTCGCCCAAAAGAGTGTTGTTTACTATGAGCTGCTGAAACCTGGAGATCCCATTACGGGCGATCGGTACCGGCTACAATTGATTCGTTTGAGCCGTGCATCGCGAGAAAAACGGCCGGAATACGAGCAAAGACATGATAAAGTTATTCTTCTTCATGACAACGCTCGGCCTCATGTCGCAAAAGTCGTAAAAAAATATTTGGAAACGCTCAAATGGGATGTTTTACCGCACCCGTCGTATTCTCCGGACATTACTTCTTCTGATTACTGGTTGTTCCGAAGGATGCAGCACGATTTGGCAGGTCACCGGTTCACTTCTTTCGCAGATATCGAAAATTGGCTCCAAACTTGGATCGCCTCAAAAGACGAGTCATTTTTTCGAGATGGAATTGGAAAATTGCCTGAGAAACGGGAGAAAGTAGTAGCCAGCGATGGAAAATACTTTAATTGATCTGTTCATTCATTTTGTTTTGAAATAAATAGATTTTTTAACACAAAAAAAAACGGACTGAACTAATTTGTACTCCCAATAATATTTCCAGAAAATAACCGAAAAAATACGTCATCTGCAAAGGAAATAGAACAAGTAATGACAAATGTTTGTAAGAAGAGTGTTCGGGAATCAGATTCACTTGCTCAAAGCAAGAAACGAAAAATAGATACCTTTAATAAAGCGATATTAGACCAATCGAACTATTTGAATGTTTTAGCACAAAAAGTACGGGATGCATTGTTAACATGTATTGTAATACTTCAGAATCTGCTTCTGTTACATCTCGTGCTACAGAATTTCTAAGTTCATTTTCTCAGAATATAAAAGCTATGTTAAGTGCAATAGGTTTGCTTTGCAGAAAATACCTAAACCTAAGCAGTTAGATTGCCTAATTGATATTATGCAGTTAGTGAGACAATATATTGAATAAAAGAATTGAGTTTCCATAAAAATTATTCAAAGCAAAAATTCAGTTTTTACAAGAAGCATGTCTCATAAAAAAGTTAACGAGTCAAAGTTTTTATTTTGTTAATAAAACGAAATCTTTTTTGTATTATGGTTAAAGACTGTTTTAAAGACTGACTTTCTACGTATAATTAAAGTAACTTTGATAATTTTAAAGATTATATATGGTGAGATTATAGTATGTCTGATTAATACTACTTTTTTGTTATTTTAAGTATTTTTATGTATTTAATATCTAAATGTTAAGTGTTTTTGTTCTCTGATTGATGCT